TAGTTTAAAAATAGATAATAAATAGTTCAAAAATAGTAATAATATAGTTTAAAAATAGATAATACATAGTTCAAAAATAGTGATAATATAGTTTAAAATAGCTAATAAATAGTTCAAAAATAGTGATAATATAGTTTAAAAATAGATAATACATAGTTCAAAAATAGTGATAATATAGTTTAAAAATAGATAATACACAGTTCAAAAATAGTGATAATATAGCTTAAAAATAGATAATAAATAGTTAAAATACATCCCAGCTTGTTAAAAATAGCTAATAAATAGTGGATATAATATTGCCCAAATAGATTAAAAATAGTAATAACATATTAAATAAATAGTTAAAATATGTCTTGTTAATACAGTTAGAATAGTTATTAAATATAGTGTATAGAAATACATATAGCCTATAAATATTTTTAAAATATATTATAAATACCAGTAGTTAAAAAATAGATAATAAAAAGTTAAAACATATAATGTAAATAGTCTTTAAATAAAATATAATTAGTAAAAGAAATTGAGAACAAGTGTAGAAGTGCTGAAACATCAGAGGCTATTACAGACCTACTTTAGTATTTATCGTCTATAAATGTCAGACAATTTTACTTATCAGTAGTTAGAGGTCTGTCAATAAATGAGTTAAAAATCTGTAGTTAGCAGTCTCTATGGTAGCCAAAGAGTTAAGTATACTGTATACATACAGTAACTTGGCTGGGGACTGGGCAGAAGAAAGCAAGAACATCATGTAACATCAAGAATAGGGCGAAGCTCGGCTGCAGCTAAGTTTAGAAAAAACATTTATATATGTGAATAATACCCTGAATATAGCTGGATATTTTTCAACTATCCAACATATATCCTGTATGTCGCTGGATAGCAAAAACATTCTATCTTGCACACCCCTACAAAGAACTTCAAGTAGGTAACATAAGAGGAAATTGCTCCTTTATAGGTGTTATAGGTAATAATTATTTAGCATGCCACAGTCGGTAAGTAAAATTGTCTACCATGAAATGTCAGAGTTAAATAATAATATCAAAGTACTTAAGTATAGGAAGTGTTATATGTCAACATGAAACATGGGCAGAGTCTAGCACTCAAGCTAGACACTTCAACTTTACAAATAAAATTGTCCGGCATTAGGCAAGATAACATTTAATAACAAAGTGCTGAATATTGGGCTCATTGGAGTGAAATGGGTAATTCCAAAAACAATCAAACCCTTGCCGGGGTGTCTGTAAAATATATAAAATGAAGCCCAAAGGTTATTACATATATTATTAAGCAGATCATGAAGACATGTGGTGTAACTAAATGTATTCATAAGTTTGAACAAGCAAACTAAAGACTGTATTAACTGTTTTCAGTTAATTAGGGACATGTCTATAATCAAGTTGCCACAAATGACAACAACACATCAAATTGATATTTTGATCTATTCTAAACTGACCCACCTATATATATGAATAAATATTGGAAACTTATGAAAGTACCAGTTAATTTGAAACCAGTCGATAAATTTTCTAGTCAAACCATGTTTAGCTGGGACATGCCTGGGTAGGCATATGAGAATTGAGTAGATGCCAAGCTATATTATTTTATACAAGAAACACTGGAATCTGGCAAATTATCTGTCATACACACTATACACAAAGGTCAAAGTATACTATTTGGCATTACAATAAACAACATTTAATATAAAGGCTGAGTCAAATGTAAGCCTTGCTATAAAACTAATGTTGTTTTAATTCAAATATTGTCGAAGCAAATTGAAATTTTAAGCTGGAACATGTGCTCAAAATTCACGAATGAAGATAGTAAATATTTCCTTTCAAAATTGCTCTATTTATAAATAAAACATAACAAAATTCTTACCTGGATGTCACCCAGTCATTCCTGATCTTTAATCTTTTAAATAAGTATTACTTTCGCTCAATAAATGCTCTGTATTTGAGTATTTCGAGCGGAAAGTTTAAACCCAAAAATTTTTAAATATGGTGGTGTGAATTGTGACGCTATCCCAGAAAGCTTTGCGCGCGTTGTTGGAAAATTAGGCACCAGCCTGTGAGTCTGTCAAAACCGCGCTCTTCGTGAGAATTTTTGGTGGTGTTTTGTCAAGAGACAAAATACCTACCTCCACAAAGACTATAAATATTTTTGTAAATATAATTTCAATGAACTCGATCATAAAAAACTCTAAAAATAAAAGTAAACATAGTTTAAAGATAGCTATTTATAATAGCCATTTGAAGAAACTTCGCCACAACTTTCTATGAATAGAAATCAAATAAATAGCTATTTAAGATCTATTTATTTTCCTATTTAGTAACTATTTTAACAATACTCAATAATAGCTCCCAAAATAAAAGCAAACATAGTTTAAAAATAGCTATTTAATAGCTATTTGGAACAAAGTTCGCCACAACATTCTATGAATAGGAATTAAATAGCTATTTAAGATCTATTTATTTTCCTATTTAATAACTATTTTAACAATGCTCAATAATAGCTCCAAAAAATAAAGGCAAACATAGTTTAAAAATAGCTATTTTATAGCTATTTTATAGCTATTTTGAACCAAAGTTTGCCACAACTTTCTATGAATAGGAATTAAATAGCTATTTAAGATCTATTTATTTTGCTATTTAATAAATGTGTTAAGAATGGCTCCAAAAAGATAAGCAAAAATAGTTTAAAAATAGCTTTTTAAAACTATTTTAACTGACTCGTTTGTCATGAATCGGAATTAAATAGCTATTTAAAAGCTATTTTATAGAGAGATTCCGTCAAATACTCTTTCAAATAGGATTTGAATACCTATTTAAAAGCTATTTTTTTGAAAAATATAAATACCATATATTTCAAATAGAGTGTAAATAGTCATATCCTATTTTATGAAATTTGATAAATAGTAATAAAATAGTCATATTTTTGAAAAAATACGGAAAAAATAGGGCTGCATAGAGAAAAAATAGGTATAAAATAGGTTATAAATATGTCGGATTCTACAAGGGTGTCTCATTTTAAACTTTCAGTCCTAAAAGAAAAACATTTTGAGTTATGTATTTGAGCGTACAGCGCGTTTGAGCTGTAGTTAAGTATAGTCAATGTACATGTTGCATCTATAGCTTCAATTAAAAAATTATTGAACATACCTTGTTTGCATGGAACTGCAGGAGACTGCTCACGTCAGTCTCTTTGGCGATCTACCAGAATCCCCCATTCCAGTCTCTCCCAGACTGGATTTTCATTTCAGCATTTTTTTAATATTCGATTATTTTTTCTGATGCAATTAAATAGTACGAGTTTAGTGAGTTATTTACCGAAACGTTATTGAAACTATAATTCTACATGTCAATTTTTTTAATGAAACAACTTGTCAAAATCTTACAGTTACTTTAACAGCCTCATGATCTGAATAATACACACTAACAACATTTGCTTCCACTTTATTGCTTATTGATAGTTTAACGTAAACTCGATCGAGAAGACTTCCGGAATAAACAAATGTTGGTGTATTTACAAGTTGCACATAATTTAAAGACTCGGCGAGCACTTTCAATGAAGAAATATTCTTTTCATTGAAGTAATCAATATTAAAATCTCCAAATATAACGTCAATATCCAAGCTAGTTGTTATGTAATCTAGGCAAGCTATGAATTGCTGAATGACACCTCCGTGCTTACGATAAAGCAGTAGACATGATAAGGTATTCCCACCGGAGTTATTAAGTAAAAATCGTAAACCATTTATTGAAGCGAAATATTCTGTATCACATAGGGTAATAGTGTCTTTGTAGCAAACAGCTAGACTTAAGAACTTGCCGAATTATGATCTTGTCTGTGTATAGAAAAATCGTCAAGGATTGAATTAATATCATCATTTGGTACACTGGTTAAAAGTTGAGTTTCTGTAAGGGCAAACACATCACATTTGGACAAGATTGGGTCATTACTTAGGTCAAGACTGTGTTTTTTAAATGATCTAATATTTAAAAGACAAATTGACACAGTTTCTGTGTTACATAAATCTGTTGTAATATGCGCGGGTGGAGACTCGAAGTTTCACGCAATCTCTCGTATTCTTCCTGGACTTTAGGATTAGCTCGAATATGTTTACTTTCAAGTGTTCTAAAATATGCCGGGCATTTAAGAGTGCATGTCAGTAAAAATCGAACATATGAGATATTTCGCGGCCACGACTGAAAAATCGATTTTGCTCAAATTTTGCCCAGATATACCTTATTATATCGGAAAATGCACCATATATTTTTTTAGCAGTGCATGCCCATGCAAGAGTTACAGGAAATTGCAATCTTTGCATTTCAGGAGATGATTGTTTTCCTGGTCTGACTTTAATTCTCGCCAATACAGGTTTGATAGGAACAAGATTGTTTTCTCTTGCAAAGCTACTGGACGAATTTCGTATAGCAGATACTCCAGCATTACTGTCATCAAATTTAACAAAAATTATGCAGGGTTTATTACTAACATTGTCAACAGAAACTTTTATTACTGTACCTAGCTGCCCATTAATTAGTCGATCGCTAATATCCACATTGGTTGTGAGCATAACTCTTGCATTTTCTTTGATTAGGATTTTAGTGTCAAGCCCTCCAGTTTCGGACCTTCCTTTAGACAACACTCTTTCGATATCTTGTTTTCTAACATGAGATGGGAATTGATCCAAAGCTTCTAAAACGTACTGTTGTGATTGAATTTGTTGTAGGTGATCAAAATTTTACTCATCTACTGGTGCATTTTCTGCAAAGATGTGTAATGCATGCGATGGATAATTTTCATCACCTGGAGTTATTGTTCTCGATTGAATACATGCACCTGATATCATCGTCTGTATCTGAAGCGGTGCGCACTCTATTTAATAGTTGAGTGAAGGCGAGGTCATTTTTTTGTCTCATGATCTGTGTTAGTTCTGCCATTTTAAAGGCATGCATGGATGGTATAGATTGAATGTATCATTCTTATAATTTGAACACTTTGTTGCACTTCGAATTGGTGGTAGCTGAAAGAAATCTCCAAAAACAAGTACACCGATTGCTGCAAAAAGTTCACTATTAGGTGTAACAAGTATTTCTTTCAATCTTTGGTCAATATGCAGCAGACCCATGTTTGAGACCATTGATATTTCATCAATTATGATTAGTTTCAATTTAGCCAAAGACAATCTCATTTGTGTTCGTCTCTGGTCAGACATTGCAGGTACAGTATTCCCACATTCTCTTGGAATTACTAGAGCAGTGTTTACGATTGTTCCGTTGATATTTATGGCAGCTACACCAGTTGGAGCTATTAGCAATACAGAAGGTAATTCAGGGTTCATTGGATCATGTCTAAATGTTTTTGTAACAGTTTGATATATAGCTTTAATTAAGTGTGATTTCCTTGAACCTCCACCTCCAGTAACAAAAACATGTATCGGATCTACCTTAGATGGTTTAAGGGTGTTTAGGTTGGCCATCTTATTTCTACACCACCAAAGAACTACGTCATATGCATAACGTTGTTTGTTGTTCAATGATCTTACAGTTTTTCGTAGATCGTCGTCACTGATTTGTTAGGGTTGATTATAAGAACTTAATCCAGAAGATGGTAGAACTGATTCAGGATTTGATGCAAGATGTTGTGGCAACGATTCGTTAAAAGACTCGGTTTCATCAGAATGGTCAGGCAAACTCTGTCGTAAGTCGTCGTTTTCCTGGTCATTTATTGGATCATAGGAGTGCGTTGGTACGCCATCAAAATTTTGCAAACTTTCTAGTGCTTCATTAATTGCATCACCATCTGGCTCAAATATTTCTTCGTTGCGCTGTACTACCTCTTGAACATCTGGCTCATAAAACTTAGATATGTATGTCTGGTCTTCGCCAAAGAGTTCCTGCTCATTACGCCACGGAAAATACAACATGAGAAGGTGGTGAAAATATTTTTCAGGCTCTTTTCTTTTGTTTGGAGTGTGATATCGAACGACAGCTTTAATTTTTCTGCACTTCATAATTTCTTTGCTATTTGCAAATTATATTCGATCGGGAAGTCCAGAGTTATGATTTTCGATATTTTGAGATTCCATGAAGTCACGGCTTAACACTTCAGGTTGAGAATCAGAGACTTCGATCGTTAAAATCACTTTTGTGATCATTGAAATAGTGAGCAGCAAATAAGGCTAAACACATATCATTAACGACAGGAATGTTTTTCGGTCTGTCATTGTAACGGACAATAATGTTAGACTTTAAAATATCAGTACTATCGTCATCTACTCATCAAGTTCTTGTTGTTTCTTCGCAAATCTAACGCGATTTTCAGCAAAATCCGTGCTAACAAAGAGGGTTTTCGGGAATATTTTTCTTAACCAAAGTTCAGTTGCATACAACTGGAAACGTATTCTTGAGCACTGACTTCACGAGTCGAGAGAAATGCTGCACCTATTCTTCTTAGGTCATCTCTTACATTTAAGTTGGCTTGTTTAGCTTCTTTTGCTGCATTTATGATGGCTTGAGAACATTCAGTTTCATCCTTTGTAAAGTAAGAACAAACGTATGTTATGTGATACACTTGTAATGATTAAACACTGGTTGCAAGTCAACATTTGCGGCAAATCCTTTTAACCCAGCAACAAAGTAATTGTTGATAAAACAACTGTTTATTGATCGTTTCAGGTACAATTCATAGTCAGAGTCTGGAGCTAATGATATAGCCCATTGATAGTCTTGCTCTGTAATATGTATATCATTTAGGATGTCAGTTGGAGTTGCATATGGATCATAAGTGGGTTTGCTTGGATTTAGCTCATCATCAATTTTTTGTTTAACATTAGACAAAATTTCCTTTCGTCTGGTTAGAATATTGGATTTAATCTATTCATCCATATCTTCAGCCAGAGGTTCAGCAACAATTGTTCTGTCAGTAAAAAACTGTCCAAAGTTAAATCTACATGCAACGTTCTTATACTTTCTACAGGTTTTACTGTGATTATGTGTCTGGTATGTTTTCATGAAGTCATAAAGTTGAGGATCTGTTTTTTTGTCTGGGAGGTATGCTTGAACATGTTGGTCAATGTAATCTATATATGCATCTTTTGTATCATTCGTTAAGTCTGGACAATCAGATGTCCATATTATAAGGCATGCAAATGTGGTGAACCTCTCATTTGAAATTCAATACGGAGTGCATAGTATACAATCTTGCCAACTGGGTTTGCATTTGTAAGCAAAACATCCCTAAAAAATGTTTCGACTCAATACTGGAAATGTTTAGCTGCAATAACTGGACTTAAATTTAACATTGAGCATCGCTCATGATAGGACAGAGCGTCCACTTCTTCATCTGTCATATTGTTTCCTTTGCTTTTTGCAATTACCTGAAATAGCTCAGTCCATCTTAAGTCTGCACATGAAAGTGTCATAAACCATGTTGGTATTCCCAGTTGTTTAACCATTGCTACCATTTCATACATTAATTTTTGCTAGTAAGGAGGTGAGCCAGGAATTTGCCGTAAAAACAAATATGCTTGATCTTGAAAAAGAAGATTTTGAAAGGCTTGACTGTTTGATTTCAATTGTGATGCTGTGACTAACTGCCCATGTATTTTTTTAAGAGCTATATTTATGCTATCATGGATGTTTTTCTGTTCCATAATGAATTGTGCAAAGAATAGATACTCTGGATTGGTTGCAAATTTCCCACTATAATGCAAGAGGCGAGCATTGAAATTTTTTATCGGAGGTAATTTTATGTCTTGTTCAAAGGTGTATCCAAATCGTCCTTTTGGAAAGAGTACTGGAAATGAAAGTTCCTCACAAAGTTTGTCAGTCATCAATGATACTGGGTGTTTACCTTCACCTGGTGCAATGTTGAAAATTTCTCTACCTGTTGAATTAGGCCTATCACAGTTTCTATTGTCCACGTTTACAGGATAATTTGGCAAGATGGATTGAAGACAGGTTTCAATTGCAGCTGAACGGTGTCCATTTAATGGATCATCTTGTTCTTCAGCATCTTCATTAAGAAGTTCTCTATTTACATTAGTTTGCAAATGCTCGTCTATACTTTCTACTTCTGCAGCAGGACAGTTCAAATTAGTCAACTCTGAGCTGATGTTTTCACATTGAACTTCAATGTTTCTATATAACGGATTGTTTGCTATAAGCCAGTTTAATGCACTAATTACAAACTGAGGGCGAACTGCTTGAAAGTAAACATGACCTCTGAATTGAAGTTTCCTTTTTAATTTAAGTAAAATTATCCCAGATCTGTAAGGTGGCCTGGGAAGAACATCGCATGTTTTACTACATTCAACTGGTACGTTACATATTGCACCTTTAATTTTTCTTTGTTGTCCTTTCGGCATTATTACAATTTTTTCAAAAACTATTCTCTAGGCAACAAGAAGTTGTTAGAGTTAACTTGTTGTTTTACTAATGGATCCATTGTTTTGTATTTCATCTGCTTTGTTTCTAGCTTCTGTTTCTTTAGACCAGGTTCAAAGAAGTCATTTAGATAGTTTTGCCTGTCGTTTTTCATAATCCTTTTTCTTTCACAGTTACTCAATTCAGAAAAACAAGACAAAAATTGAATTTCATAATTAATTGACAATTTCATCTTTGATTTTGGTGGTTGCTAGTTTAAAGATAAAATCGACTAAAGTATGCTTGTCTTTCATGTTTTTAATGTAATGTGTAGTACATGTAGGTGAGCTATCATCATCATCATCACCATCATATGCTAATATTGAGTATGACATATTCTTAAATTATGTATTTCGAAAGATGCAAGAAATACAATAATCTCCAAACCAAATTAAAAACCCTGTGTTTTCATTAGTATGACAAGTAAGGCTTTCAATGTGCAGTTTGCTTTTTGCTTTGTCATAAACTACTCCTTGAATATTAGCTTGCAATTTTACATGTACTTCAGTTCCACATATTTCAACTTTTTGAAGTATTTCACGAGATGTATTTATCCCAGTGTTGTTATACAAAGTAGTGCCAGAGTAAACAACTGCGGCCACTGTATTGGAATCCCAGTAATTACAAGGTTTAATAATAGAATAACAAATCGAGTATAATGAAATCGCACAGCATTGTCTACATAAAAAAGAAACATCAGTACTTTTAGATTCTCCCGAGGCGTTACCTGACAGGGCAGAATTTCTAATGCCGTTGCTTAAGTTCGGGTCACCATTGGCTTGTACTTATTCAGTATTTATTCCCCTTAGCTCAAATTGGTTGTTTGCACTGTATAAAGACTGGAAATACAGAATTACATTGTTGATATTTGGTGCCTCCAACAACACACATGTACCTTGTGGATGACTTCTGCCATAAATATCTCTTGAATGAGAGTAAAAAATTTTATACTTGCCATCATTGGTGGAAAATATGCAAACAGCATTGGAGTCAATTGTTAAAATGAATGCAGAATAGTTTTTAGCCAGGAGCAATTCAAATGATCTGTGAGATGGAACACAGTACTGAAACCCTTCAATAGAACAGTCTCCAATTACGTTACCGCTATAGCTCTCACTGTACTCAAAAATATAATCTGTGACAAATAGTGTAAGTTGTGAAGGCAATTCTGTAAACAATAAAAATGATTTGTTTGTGTGATGTTACTCTGAGTGTATATCCACACCGGGCAGGCTTGAAAAAATATGCCTGGCCACGGCGGGATTCGAACCTACGACCTTTAGAATACTAGCACAATGCTCTTCCAACTGAGCTACGCGGTCAGGACGGTTCGAGTAAGCGATATTTTGGAACTGAATCTAGTTCCTTCGATATCAGTGTAATCTAATCTTTATGAAATCTGCTGTGTTGGTGTAATGTACTCAGGTGAATAAGATGTTTGTGTGATGTTACTCTGAGTGTATATCCACACCGGGCAGGCTTGAAAAATATGCCTGGCCACGGCGGGATTCGAACCTACGACCTTTGGAATACTAGCCCAATGCTCTTCCAACTGAGCTACGCGGTCAGGACGGTTCGAGTAAGCGATATTTCGGAACTGAGTCTAGTTCCTTCGATATCAGTGTAATCTAATATTTATGAAATCTGCTGTGTTGGTAGGTAGTATTCCAAAGGTGAATAAGATGTTTGTGTGATGTAGCTCAGTTGGAAGAGCATTGGGCTAGTATTCCAAAGGTCGTAGGTTCGAATCCCGCCGTGGCCAGGCATATTTTTCAAGCCTGCCCGGTGTGGATATACACTCAGAGTAACATCACACAAACATCTTATTCACCTGAGTACATTACAGCAACACAGCAGATTTCATAAATAAAAATGATTGCCGTGCTAAACATGATACATGTAAGTTTGAATATAGTTCATTACTAATATTCATTACGTTAACCAGGTCTTGTGGTGAGCATAAGTTCTGTTTTTTGTTGTATATAAGGGCACATAAACACATTGCTAAACATTGCTGTCCTGTTGTTTCTCCAAATATAATTTGATTACCTTGGCTATATGGTGCACTGATTGTCTTGCTGGGATCAATATAGAATACGGGTCCAGGATTTGTTTCAATATCTGTAGCTACATAATGCTGACTGACAGACATTCTCTAAGTGTTTGACATTTTTGAATACCTGTTGTGCATATAAATCATGAGTCGAACCTGATAAATAGAATATATCTGCAAGAATTCCTTCACAAATATAAAATTTTGAATCTTTTGCTGAAAGGTTTGTCCGGCATTTCCTGCGAACCTTCTTTGGGCAGTAAACATCAGGCATACACTTCATCCTAATGTCTTGACAATGCTTAATATTCTCTACTATATAATGAAGATGAGAGGATCTGCGTACAGACCTTTTGATGTTATGTCTGAGACGTTTTCTCAACAGTCGATTTTTTCCAAACTTCCTAGTTAACCATTTTACCTGTATTCTACTGGGTTCACGGTCACGGTGACGTAAATGGCAACCAGTGGTAGTAAAGTCAGAAACATGGTTTGTGTGCAGACATTATAAAATAATGCATGTCGTGATCGCACTGGGAGTTTCTTTATACGCATGGGATTGTGTTTTGACAGACCTGTTATTTCAATATTCTGGTTATTCAATTTCTGAACTACAGTTGTTAGATATATTTATACCCGGCATACATTGATCTGTGGACACATTCTTGTTTTCCTTAAAATTGTTGGGAAATTCTTGATTTTTGTCTGTTCAGACGATTTCGCATTGTCCATGTCCTTTGTAGTCTTTCTACTGGCGGCCATGTTGACCATATGCTCGTTGACAGTACAGCAACTTTATTGTGAGTATTTTTTTTTTATATTTGTCTGTGTATTTATATTCGTCATTTCAGTAGTATTTTTTATTTCAGTGGTACTTTTGATTCCACTGGTACTTTTGATTTCAGTAATACTTTTGTCATATTATTGGCAACTTTTTGTATAACATTTTTGGCAATTTCTGGAATGTATTGTGGATTCGTGGATAATCGACCCGGTTCGAAATCGCTCAGCATCTTTTAGTGTAGGTCTACCACGAATAGGTGCAGAGTCATGCGAGGTGAGCGTATTTGAAATTAAATCACATTCACTTACCGTAAAATCGTCGAAAGATTTTTTCCCAAAATACGAGCCAAAATATCGCAAAATATAAAGAAGCGCAGCCAAACGTAAACTTGCGATTTGCGAAAGTTGCTGTTTCCATGTCAATTTTGGTAAAATTCCTTGTAAAATTGTTCAATTTTTTTCAATTTTCCCGAATTTTCCTCAAAACGCAAGGTTATTTATGGATAATATGGGTAAAAATTAGCAGGAGTCGTATGGATAATTTGGGTAAAAATTGGCAGCTCATTAATATTCTATTTTGTGACTAACGACGACGATTGGAGATCCACTATTGCTGATCCAATAAAAATGTGAGCCGAAACCTATAGTCTGCAGGGCACAGTTGCCCTAGCGAGTAATTAAACTCTTTGACGACAGTACGGTTTCGCATTAGATTACGACTTAATTTTTCTATTGTAATTATCTCGGCGAGTATTTACACCCCTTTTAAATAAAGGCCACCATTGAAATCCTCGCAAAATAACCTTTCGAACGGGGGGTGAAGTGCCGTCAAAACATTACACAAACCGAAACAATCATATATTTACTCACCGCTTGGCCAAAGATTCTAAATTTCATAGCCAGAAAATCTTGAATATCTCTTGAACTCTTGGGAATTCCCACAAGTCAATCAGAGTGAAATATTTCTTGTATTCAAGCGCTTTCGTGTACAAAATTTCGTTAGAATACGGGGAGTAGAAATATTTATTTTGAATTTTTCAAGATGTCGGGTTTTACTCGCACGCGCGTACATTGCGCAATAATTGGCCAATAAGAAGCTCCTGTGGCCGGGATGACGTCAAACTCACCTTCCGAATCCATTGTTGGCCTTTGCAGGGTCATACAATACAAACGTCGCATTGTTTTGACGTTTTTTGTCGTATTTCCGGTTGGGATTAACTCACTTCGAGCTTACAGTCGGACAAGAAATGGAAATATATTGATACTAGAAGTTACTATCACAAGGAAAATGCTGAATCACCCCCAAGGGATCAAAGGCAGCATGCGCAGTTTGCTGAATAAGGGGCTGTTTTTATGATCCCGCTTTACCAGGATGAGATATGAGGCGGGATGATTTCAGTGGCGCCATGGGACCCTTGTTTTTTTGTTGGGTTTTTTTGGGGGGGGGTACAAGGGCAGTACTTTTCCAAAAAAACAAAAAAAATTTTCCGGACAACAACATGGTAAAACTCTCCCCCCCCCGTCGACAACTTTTTTGGTGAAAAAAATTTTCCGGACAATAACATTACAATTGCTTTCGTAGCATTTTCCCCGATTTTGGTAGCATTTTTTTCGATACTTCAGCACTAAGATTCCGACAACATTGACAATTTTCCGACGGGTCTCAACAATAGGGGGGACTGCCCCCCCCCCCAGCCAGCGCCACTGGATGATTTAGATGTATTTAAATAAGTCACGGTGTACACTTCAACAATAGTTACCCCTTGATATAGCAATAGTTACCTGTAAATTGAAAGGTTGTTCAAGCAGCAATAATAATCTTCTTGAACTAAAGATCTGCTCTACAACATTTGAGTTTTGTTAACCAGCATTTGGACTTTCGATTAGCATATGGACATATTTCAATACATCTAAATCATCCCACATTCCATCATGTAAACAGCCCTTAAGATGCCTGTTCAAGAGGTAGGAAAAGTGCAATTTGAATACCAAACACCTTGTACAAAGTAGAAGGTCAGCTAAATATTCTAATTCTACTTTCTTGGCATGCCATGGGCGATTTTATATGAATTCTTTCAATACTTATAACTTCTTGCTTTTGTATGTATATTTATAATTACTGTCAGCACTGGTGAAGCTAGTCTCCTATGCAGACCTACTTTAGCGGGTTTGGGCCCCCACGTACGTGAGGGCACAGCCCGCTAAGTAGATATGCGTAGGAGGCTATGGTGAAGCTAGCCGTAGTAACAGCTAGGTCATGCTATGGTATTTAATGATTTGCATTGCAGGTCTATTAGCATCAGTGGCGTAGTCAGCCTGAGTATACGTATTTGCTCCTGCTATGCAAATATTTCTGTGTTCATAGACTGTAAAAACAATGTCAATGAATTTCTAAAGAAATGAATAATGATAATCCTTTGAAATTTACATAGCAGGCGTAAATTTTCTGGTTGGCTACGCTACTGATTAGCATACAATGACCAGTTGCCACGGCTAGCTTGCCACTCCATAATGTAGAATAATAGTCAAAATACCATATATATGTACGTATAAACAATAATAATACTTAAATGAATCATTGGACACAAAGAATTTAATAACAATTTCATATATAGAAATACTAAGTCCGTTTTTGTCCCAATTATTGTTTTAATGGCACCTTCAAGGCTACCTCTATTGCAGAACAACTGAACAATCTGTTGATGATAGACAAAATCTATTTGTCAACATTTTTGTTTAATACGTCAGCTTCAGATGGCACCATTCATTTGTAAAGACTAAGATTGTACACAGTCAGAACTGCAAAACTATATAGGAAAGAAATTGTGAGCATTATCAAAAAAATAGTATATCCTGAAATGTGGTGGTGACACAGCCAGGGGCCAGTTGTTCAAAGTTGGGTTAGCACTAACCCTCGGTTAAAATTTAACCCGCTGTTTTGGTTTGTGTATTTCTGCGCGTCTGTTTATTTCAAAACTTCAGAGAAGTAAACTCCTATCGATCCAGACAACATCTCTGAAGAAATATTCCCAATTTCATAGACAAGCTGTCAGAAAGTTTGCTCTGAATTTTATCTTAACCTGGGTTTAAGCTAACCCAGCTTTGAACAACCGGCTCCAGGTGAATACATGAATGAAGGCCGGTAGGATTATTTCGTATTGTGCTAACAATGGACATATCTCAGAGGTATATTTTTAGGGGACGATTTCATGGCCGAGTTGTCCCGGCTAAGCGAGTTGACTCGCTTTGCCGAGTTGACCCGCTTCCTATATGTATTGTCTATTATTTTGACATTTCGATTACATGCAAAGCGAGTTGTCCAGCCTTGCTGGGACCGCGGCTGTAGCTTGCCGAGTCAACTCGCTTAGCCGGGACAGAAATTGCCCACACATCCCATGTAATCGCTTTTTGCCGAGTTGGCTTCGCAAAGCGGGCTGAAAACCACACTTATGCATGTTTTAACAACAATCCACACTGGGTTGCTATAGAGTATAGGATAACAGGAATATATTTATAATATTCTGCATGATGAATATGCTACATTAATAAATGAAATATATTTAAAGTTAAATTTAACCGTAGAGCTAAACATTCATAGCCATGGGTTCATTTTAATATGTATGATAGACTATGTTTTAGGCTAGTACACATAGACATTTTCATTAATATATATATATATATATATATATATATATATATATATATTATATATATATATATATATATATATATATATATATATATATATATATATATATATATATATATATATATATATATATATATATATATATATACTCAATATTGAATTTGTGCGTAGTGAACTAGAGTGCTCAACACCAATAAATCAGTAGAGCAAATAAAAAGAAAAAACAACAAATTTCAATCTTAAAATTTTATTTCATCGCCACACAGTGTTTCACGTACAGCGTACGATCATCAGGCGATTGATGTTAATTATCTCGCAATAAATTACAACGGTTTACGCTGACGCGCTTAGATTGCTGACGCAAGAATTTAAACGATTGTGTTTACTTGCGCGCGCGCGTTTGAAATTAGAAGCTTTATAACTGTTCCTATGCCTACACTTGCTAAACAATTCAGATCTTATATTCAATGTATTAATTTTGTCCGATAACATAATCATTCTTTTTTCCTCGGTGCACAGAGAACAAACTTTCATTCCTGGGCAAACGGCTGGAACTTGCTTCATGACCGACCAATTTATTCGGAATGATTTGTTCTGCGATTTAAGACCCCAAGCATATTTCGAAAGTTCCGTCTCTGTCGAATAGCGCTCATTGTTCAATGATTTCAAATGATTGCTATATCGTAGCTTGAAAGGACTCTAGTTCACTACGCACAAATTCAATATTGAATATATATATATATATATATATATATATATATATATATATATATATATATATATATATATATATATATATCTATATCTATATCTATATCTACAGGGTGTATTAAAAAAAACGGAGTCCATTTTTTGTACTTAATAACTATCGGCCTACTATATTTAATAAAACGGTTTTAGGCTTATTTTAAGGCCTGCTCATTTATCTTTCGAACAAATGGTCATCCGTGTCTTTAGTGCAAGTAATAACTGCACAGGAGAAAATTTAGTAAAACCTATAATTTTTAGATGCCGCGCTTAATTATACAAATTTACTATGATATTCCATGGTCGGTTACAATGTTTGAATTTTCTTGTTCAAACTTTATTGTTCTTGTTGCCACATCAGAAAAACTAGTAAAACTTGTTAAAAACATTCTAAAAGAGATTAGGTTGTTTTATTTATTTCAAAATCCTAAATTATTTCCAGAAATCATCAAAACAATCTTATGTCCATGCATCGTCCGAACTAACGCCATCGAATCGGGCGCAATGTAAAAATAAATTAGCAAGTTGACGGCAAGCTAAAACACGCTTCAGCTGGGAATATAAACGCATTTGAAGTCAGCAAGTGAATTTAAAATAGTGTATTGGAAGCCTTTATTACTTAGTTTTTACAAGCTATTGCCAAAATGCCTCAATTTGCTCGTTTTATTGACAAAATAAGTTATTTTCATCAAGTACCGATGTGTTATTGCATCTCAAATTTTTGACTCTCCAATCGCAATCACTTAAAATACTATTATTTACGAACTACTGGATTAAATTTACGAAACAACACATCGTTGGAAAGCTGAATGTCTACGCTTTAAAACAAATGTAAACCTGAACGTTTTACTCTAATATTCGTTTCGAAGTTTATATTTGAAACGAGGACTCCGTTTTTTATGATACACCCTGTATATCTATATCTATATATATATCTATATATATATATATATATATATATATATATAATATATATATATATATATATATATATATATATATATATATATATATATATATATATATATATATATATATATATTGAGCTTAAAAGAAAAGAAAAAATTGAGCAAATTGACATACCTCTAAACGATCTCCCTTTCTCACAAAACTTGAATATAAGGCCAGTATTTATACAAAGCATGTCTTTGCTTCGCTCATGACCTCATGTTAAAACGACTACAAAGCTCGCTGATCGAAATATTTTTAAACGCCATATTTGGTACATCGTTCACAGTCACTAAACAAAGTATTCGGCAGTCATCGATTTGCTATTGTGAACTCCTGGGGTATGATAATGCTTCAATGTAAATTCCTTACTGCTACGTCATAATATGACGTCACAACTGCCGACACAAAATCGAGATACGCTTCAAGTTTATAATACTGTTGGCGGGAAATTCAACTGCGCAATAACACATCGTCAAGAATAGGAGGCTGCCTTCGGCAGCAAAAAGATACAGGCTTGAAAATAACACTTTAAATAGTGTTTTTGATGAGGATTCGAACAAGACTATTAGAAAGACGATATATATGTTCAAAGGGGCCGAAGTTATTTTCGGCGAAAGGTATGGCTAGTTTATATTTTTGTTCAGACAATTGCGTAATTTGATACAATATGATCATGTTTAACTTCAAAGGTCCATAAATCGCTACAATGTTGATAATGACTATAACTATAGAGAGGAATTAGTTGAATCCTTTATTTCTTAATCTAATGGTGGTATTTCTATCTTCGTAGCATATGCACTGAACCGAAGATATGAAAACAGAAAGCCATCAACCGCGCGAGGATGAATGAACTGCGATATGTCGTCAAAGTCACCTAGTCAAAAATTGGATACAACTATGATCTACCATGCATAATATCGAACTTGCAAAAATTCACCTGCGCTCGTTTACAGTGTAGTACTTAATATTTTCCATACCTTTTTCTAGCGATTGGTTTAGTTCCTCTCCAACTGGTGTAGCAAGTTGCTGTACATCTTCATTTTCGTTTAGCTGATTCGGTACAAACGGTATATCAAGTTGCTCTTGCGGTGTGGCAATTTCTTCATTTTCGTTCAACTGAATCGAAAGAACCGATATGCCAAGCTGTTCCCCATATTCTTCTCCGTACCAAACCAACAATTCAGCACCTGCTTCAATTTCTTTATAGACTCGGTAGTAAACATCTCCGTGGTATTGGAAGGCGAGGAGGTTTTGTTCTTCTTCGTTCCGTGCGCAGTTGACGAAACGTAGCCAGTTGCTTTGCGAAGGATCTATTGCATCTATAACATGAGTTGTTTTTCCACCTTGGACAATCTGAATTAAAAGTAGTGATTCCATGATTTCTTGAACAAAGGAGTCTCTCTCCCGATACAATTTGACGCGATTAGGGGTGATCAGAGCGATCACGCGACTAAGATTGGCCAGAAAAATACAAAATTGTTAAATTAAAATAGCAGTCCAGTTATCAAACTTCGCGCAGTGTAATGTGTTGAAAGTTTAACAGTCCAGTTTTGAAATATCATTCAGTAGCAAGGCCTTCGAACATGAACGCGCAGAAAAGCGGTCTTACGCATGAGTCCAGCTTGATTGGCTATCTCGATTTTTGCACGATCTGTGGGGAGTTCTGATCGCTAAAGCGACCAGGGGCTCGAATACAGGCTATCCGATTGGCTAATTCAAAACAATCCTGAATTCCCATTGGCTGGATTTTTTTGATCGATCATACCGTTCAGGCTTTATTAGTGCACGAAAAGGTCTATGACGTTCTGGCCCTTTCTGATCGCTACTTTGTGCTTGACCGCAAATTATTAAAGTTCAATGGGAAGATTTACTATCAGAAATTCTGAACTAATACTAGCCATGTCTGTTAGTATTTACGAAACCGTAAAGGCTGCTTTAGAGAAGGACGATCGACAAAATGTCAAAGATATTGAAGCTGATTTAAACAAGCGAGTAACAGTGTACCGAATCTCTCTATTAAAGATTTATTGAGCGTTGTGAATAACATAAGCCTCGACATAAAGGCAGTTTCAGTGTGTTTATACATTGTTTATGCTTCTTGTGACATGTGGACTTTATATATTAATCAGATAGCTACTTAATAACACTGTATTATTTATACCTAGCCTATTTTAGTCATTTTAATTAATTAAACTACAAGAACACGACAATGTAGCATGGCCTTGTGTAATACGATCTCTACATCATGTACACAACAAGTAAAGTGGATCATGTTGCCATTGAAAATACTTATTCATGGCGAATAAGTATATTCTGCTACGAATGAAACTCGAGGAGCAGTGAATTAAACGTGGAATTTCTCTTCCTATATTGCATCACTATACATCACCTATATTGCAAAATTTTTTGACCATCCATGTCAAAGCAAATAATATGCGATTAAATAACAATTTTTAAAACGTCAAGTCATCCTTGTCAATCTATTTCTCGATGAGAATTGGATATCTGTTTGATATTGGGCGAAAAAGCAATTTTAAGTTACATTTTTTCGTAAACAGAACATATATAAAAAATATTAATTTGCTTGGCAAACCCCCCCCCAATACGTACGTACGAAAAATCCTAAATCCTAGACTAACGTACGAAAAATCCTAGATCCGCCCCTGTTCGAAAATTATATTGAAACGATGAAGACACAAAAAATAGTAGGTACCAAGGAATGGGGATATTCTCATCAATTTATCATCAAATTCCGAGCGCTTTTAGACAAATAAATTAGTGACTATCAAATCTCATTCACATGCAATGAATGAATTTGTTTACTGACCTTGATGATCGTTATCAATAGGCCACTCTCACCGTTTGTAACGAACTGTCAGATAGGCAGTTATCCTATTTCCTCCCCTTCGATGATGACGTAATAGCTCAGTGGCTCCACAAACATGTTAGGAAAAGATAATTTGCTCTGACGGCTTGGGCTTCCCAGTCTATACTAGTTTTGGAATTTTATGCTTCAAGCAATCCTCGCATTTGATAAAAAAATGCTCAAATTGTGCTCATTTTTCAAAATTATGCTCCTGTGGTTTGAAAAGTGCTTTGATTCAATTTGAAGAAATATATTCAATATAAAGCAACAGTTGTGTTTGACATCAACTGACCAAAGTGAAAAATTAACATTACGGGGCTCGAAATAGGAAAAGAATATGCCCAGCCACACCATAGGCTGATAGGCAGCCCAATAGCTAGGAGTGTTAAATATTTGACCAAAATATTTAAAACTTTAAATAAAACGATTTAATAAAAATTATGTCGAAAGTGTTTAGATAATCGGTGGGCATTTCTGCAGTTCTGGTCGCGTGCTAAGTTCTACGTCTCTCACTGGATATTGGCTAATAATATTTTAATGACCATCGGCAATATCTCAATCTATACTTGACAAAGCGACATCCAGATCAATAATTCTTTTAAGAACTTTAAAAAATCCCTTGATCGAATTACATTGTATTGGTTTTTACTACATACAGTATCTAAAGGAAAGTTTTCTGCAAGCGTAAATTAAACTATGGTCACTAATTCCTATACATGCAAAAAATGTTTTCGGGATTAGTTACAAGTGCAACATCCAAGAGAGACGCTGTGATATCTGTAATTCGCGTAGGATGATCAATCATCTGTGTTGGTTGGAATAAATTTACTATCTCATTAAATCTTTTTGTGTGATTATTTGAATTATCTCGTAACAGATCTAAATTAGAATCACCTATGCAATAATTTGTTCTTGATGTTCACTATCAAAGATTTTGAAATAGTGTTTCAATTTCGTTATTTAAGAGTTCGATTGGCGAATTTGGCGGTCTATAAACAGATGCAATTAAAATGGGTTTGGATTTTGGCATAGTAAGCTTCGAGACAAACACCCTCAACATCAACCTCGCAAGCCAGGGTCTTTTACTTCAGCACGGCGCTACAGCATAGACCCCGGTTCCCTCTGCTCACGTGAACTCCTAAAAATTAGGCAACAAGAAGTCCTAGGGAAGGGTGGTTGGAATGTGATGTTGTAATTTACAACTTCCGGTTAAATGTTGTGTTTGCAAGGTCCGCCGAGAAGTGACTGTAAAGCTATGAGAAGTGACTTCAACTGTAATATACCAAAACGTTCAATATGTATTATCTTTCTTATTTGTCTGCAGTTTTCTATCATAAATATTTTGTCCTTTGGCGTGTATATACTGGCAATTTTTCCAACTGGTAATATGGCGAGTCGCTGATTTTCCAGCTTTTGCCCTTGATGCTTTTCGCTAAAAGAGCGTTAAAAGAACGTCCAACTCATGGCGTTTGTGTAAATGAGTAATGCTGCTCCTCGTTACAGTATATCGCGAACGCGCCTTTGATAAACAATCCAGCTCGAAAATTATGTGCGATAACACCGGCTCAGAGATCAGCAACAAATGTTTTTCCGCAGCCATTAAAATGTGACAACGAAGAGATTGATCGCGATGTAGCTGAACTTGACCAAAAGACAAAATTAATTCTACATGTTAATTTTCAACCATCCATTATATTGTTATCTCAATTTTGTTCACTTTATGCCAAACGTAGTATATTGTGTGTTTTATTTCATAACGTACCAGTCGTTATTGTAGGACTGCTACAGCATATAAACTTGACCGAAGGCACATTAAAGAATCACTTAGCTTGCATAATTGCTTTGAGTTGGTTGCAATGTAGTTATGCTGTAGTGTATGGAAAGCACAATGTTTATGTGTTGAGTGTAGTTTAGATATGGAAAGGGAATGATTTTACCTGTAGTCTAGGACCTGTATATGAGTTTGTATGCGATTCATTTAGGACAGGTAATCTCAACTGTTTTAGGGTAAAATGACCATGGCGGTCAACATGGCATATGTGCCATGGAAAAGCGACAGCCTTTCTGAAGTGCTTATGTCCTTCGATATTTCGTCAAATTGCCGCCATTTTAATGGCTCGCCGCTTCTCTGTCCGATAAATACCACTTCTTCGTTTTCATATGTATTTAGATAACAGTATCCAAGAGTACTTCATTGTAGAATAGTCCCAATCGAAAAATTGACAATATTTGTCCCATTTGGAAGGAAAAACCCTCCCGTATACCATTTACTGTAGGTTCAAAATAAAAAAATAAATTTGAAAGTCACGCGCAATATTCGCGAAAACTTCTCGTGGACACATGACAGGGGGTGGATATTTTCACGAAACGTTTGTTCGCCACCACAGAAACATAACTAAATATATTGCATTTATTGTATTATTATGATTTATGATAAAAACAATAAATATTTGCGTAGTTTTGTCATAAATCATAAAAATAGAATAAATACAATATATTTAGTTATGTTTCTGTGGTGGCGAACAAACGTTTCATGAAAATTCCCCCCCCCCCTGTAATGTGTCCACGAGAACTTTTCGCGAAGATTGCGCGTGACTTTCAAATAATTTGTTTTTTATTTTGAATCTAAATGGTATACGGGAGGGTTTTCCCTTCCAAATGGGACAAATATTGTCAATTTTTTTATTGGGACTATTCTACATTGGATACTGTAATCTAAATACATATGAAAACGAAGAAGTGGCATTTATCGGACAGAGAAGCGGCGAGCCATTAAAATGGCGGCAATTTGACGAAATATCGAAGGACACAATATCGAAGGTAAAATACACTGCACTGTCTCACAAATTGATGAAACTTGGTTGAAATGTTCTTTAGCCCTTTACGATTATGCAAAAGTACAACAACTGGATGATATTTGCGAGACTCGGCGATAAAAAGCAAACAAGGCGGCAAAGTATGAAATCGTGTTTTCGTGGGGGGCAAGTGAAATAAAATGTGTTATATTAAAAGAAAACAATGACAATCCTTATGAAATCCACAATAATTTTATTGAACTAAGCATAGTTTTCATTCCTTGATAATTTTTTTTAGGAAATAAGAAAATTTAATTTCTGCCAGGCATATTAGTTATTTTGTGCATAATCAGCAATTTACCTGGGGGTGGTGCATAGTCATTTTCTGGTAAAATATTATACTTAGACAAATTTTTCCTTCCAATGACCACCCCTAAAAGCAACCGTTCTGAACACTATAAGCACTTCAGAAAGGCTGTCGCTTTTCCTTTTCGGAAGTTAGAGCTATGTCGACACTGCCGTTTCAGGGCGGGGTCATTTTCAGGACTTTCGTCCCGATTCAGGTTTTCGCACATATGCCATGTTGACCGCCATGGTCATTTTACCCTAAAACAGTTGAGATTACCCTGTCCTAAATGAATCGCATACAAACTCATATACAGGTCCTAGACCACTGATTAGACAAATATTTTTGGGCCTGTGAAATATTCTTGACT